ACTGAACAAACACTTACATTACTTACATACATATCAAAATAAAAGGCTCTCATACTCGCACGTAAAAGCCCCACGTTTCACAATACCACACGTACCATCATTTCAATATAAATATAAACAAAAATATAAAGCTTTTGTAGTCGCTTAACCATTTTATTGATAAATTTTCTTTTCTTTCGTTGAATTGTGTAATTACTCACTCAACCTACTTACTTGACTTTAAGGAAGTTTTATAAACTTCCTGCTTTATTCAGATAGAAATGTTATTTGATTGAATATGGGGAATATAATTGAAATTCCAGTTTTGTCTAGTGATAAACAATATTTTTAATAACTTTTGTCATGCTGCATAAAATTATAAACAAACAAAATGTTGATTCTTTTCGCAAATATGCTTTCCTCCTTTTCCTTGAAGTGCTAAGGGTAAAATACTTAACAAAAGCTGTGATTATACCAAACCATAGCAAAGAATGCATATCTTTTTGTGTACGAGTATGTGCCTGAACGAATTGTTTAAAAAAATGTACAATTTTCAATATTCTGCAATCGATTAACAGCTGGGTCAACTTAATGGATATCCCCGTAACTGTTTTGTGGATACAAGAGTTTTTTCAAATAAAAAGTTTTGAATCGGAATTGTTTTCTTCCATAACATCAAAACATTTTATGCAATGCAATTTATTCCAGTTTTTATTTTTTTATATTTATTTGATTGAAAAAATGATCAAAACAATATTATTGGATTTCATCTCAATATGTTATAAAACGTATAATTAAAAGTAAATTCCGTAAAATAAGTATAAAAATTGTTAAAAAATTAGAAACCAACAAACAAATTAAAGAAATTTTAAATTAACCGCTGAATCTGATCTTGAAAAATAAGATTGAACATACAAATTTATTATCAATCAAACTGTGATAGTTATGTGATATATGTTTTTAATTTTTTGAGGTAATAAATTTCAATCATTAAGCAATCTCGTTTATATTTAAGTCTTTTCAAATCTGAACATCATTATTACTTATTGTAAACTTTTATTTTTATAATACCTTTACATTTGCACACGACCTGCAAAAGAGCGGTAGGTAGATTATCGATTATAAGATCCACATGCATTGCTATCCGAATGTCAAAATTCGTCATTTTCGCATTGCTGGCACCGGCAGGGAGTTCACCTTGCATTGGTCGTAGGGTTTGTCAAAATTGTATTTTAGTTTTTATTTTGTTTACGTGAATTTCATCTTATTTTTTTGTTTGTGGCCGTGAACATCGTTAGAACAGAACATTTGAGTATTTAAAAAAGCGATAAATTTACCATGATACAAATGTTTAAAGGTAGTTTCATTCTCTCTCCGTAGTTAGCTTCAGGGCTATCTGACATTAAACGTGTTTCGTCTTTTTCGTGCTACCCTCTTCTCTTAAAGAAATCTACCACTTTTAAATAAAAAATATGGGGAAAATTTTGACTGGATTTGCTATATATAGGTTTGACGTTATAGACGTTTTGGAGATATTTCAAAGAAAATTTGCAAGCAGACAGGATATTGTTTTCATAATTAATCATAAAAATTTCTTAATTACGCTAAAAGTCGTTTAAGTAGTTTAAATATATTTAGACATAGAAATCTAGTTTGTTAATTGTCGGTAGGCCTCACTTACTGACTATTTGTGATAGGTTGCTTCTGTGAAGAATTCCCTCACCGTTCCAGATGATCGTTTGAAAAGTAGTCCGTCCTTTTTACCATGTATCCCAAAACACAGTGTCCGGATATTATGCCATTTGTTATGCTTATGAAGGTTATCTTGAGTACGAGTAAAGTCTTAGTTGTGTTTTCACTTTGGCATCAGCCATTGACCCTTCTGGTGAAGACTAGTCTTAAAAGCCATATGAAGAGTTAACAGGCCATATGACTGTACCCTATCCGGGCAGCTCATCAGCCCAAAAGTTTACTTGGGTGTCCCTACGTTCAGGTACCCAAACTGTGGATGTTTTGCATATAGTCGAGAAAATCTAAGTATAGAAAAAAAGAAAAAAAATTAAGCCCTTTTCATATTATTTATAATGAAAAAAATCTGAGAACTTATTTTCTTACTTCTGCCGCCTGTCGCCTAAGAAAAACAAATATTTCAATACATTCTGCTTAGAATATAACCCCAAAAGTAATAAAAAAATATCCTAATTGAATATTTCAAAGTGGCAAAATCCAAAATCTCTGAGCAAACACGTTATTGTCAAAAATTTCGAAGTGAAATCACTTTGTAAAATTTTTGTATCATGGAATTTACCATAATTTTGATAGCGGCTGAAAAACCCAGAAAACTGTAGTTGTTGTAAAATTATCTGAAACGTAATGTGCTACAAATATTTGAACAGTTTATTAAACCGGGCTTCGTTGGTTGGCTGAAAATGGAAGCTTCACTACTTGAGGGCAAGCAGCCGTCCTTAAGCCGTTGCAGGCTTTTTGTGCTCTCCGGCTAAACCCAACAATGTGTTATCAAGCAAATCGTTCGATTTGATGAGTTCTCTTCCGCCCATGCTTGCTCATTTCCTTTACAATAGAGCTTGAACCATAGAGGAAAACATTATATGAATTTTCAATCCTGTGAAAGCCGGCTATTTGCAAAGGTGGTGCTCCAGTGTTGCCTTCATAAGGTTAAAACCTTACCTAGTTTTTCGAATATGATATCTCAGGTAAAGATGCTCTGCAAAGGAATATGATACTTTATTCCTTGTTTGCTCTAAGGCTTCAAGTGTTTCTTTACAGTCTCCTGCTTTAGACAAAAATGTAAGGGTCTGAAAGCTTTAAGGATGTTGTCATCATCTGTATGACTCGGGGCCCAATTGTTGTTCATTGTGTTCCGTTTGTAGTTTGTTAATTGCGTCCTTGCGTCTTTTCACACATTTTTTGACATTGTGCTAATGCCTTGACTGCCGCAGAACCATCCACAGACAACCTAAAAGTTTTCCCTATTAAAAGGCTTGACTTATAATCTCAACAATATAATTGAAGTATAATTACTGATATCCTTGCCTTCCGCCCAATCATTCCCGTTCGGGGAGGAGTGGGTGAATGGATGCCAATATTTTCGTTTCTCGATGGCATTGTACGCTTAAGCAGAGCTTTGTTTTAGTTTTCTGTATTTCAGAATGAACTTTACACTTAGGAGACCTAATTGTTCAGACCTTTTAGGCGACTAACGGTTAGTGCAGATTCATATGTCATTGGTATGACGTTAGCGTGATAAATTACAAAGTATTAGTTGACGTATTACTACGTCATCATTGCGTCTACTACACCAAGTAGATGAGCTTCATATGTTTATTTAGGTCTTACAACCATTTTTATAGCCAATAAATATATAATTTTGGGGCAATACTTTAATTTTAGTGCAATATATCTTTCACAGGTGTCCCAAATCCGGATCGCTTTTAACATGTTCCCCTCCTCGCTTAAGAATGTATTTTTTAACTGCTCCTAATACCTTATCTGCCAGCAAATAATTATATAGTGTAAAGGAACAGCTTTTTCAAATGCATCCCTAAGGTTCTTAAAGGAAAATTTCTATAACATGTCGCTAAATAATAATATTTGTCGTAACCGGCTATAATGCGGTGTAGTCAAGCTTCTGGGCATGCTCGCCCAGCGAGGTTGTGCGCTTGGTTTGGGACCAGCCACAGAGAAACCAGCACCTTCTAATGACACCCCCCGCAAACGTTTAAAGGAGCATGATTTGAGGGCGTGCACTCCGTTACTTTCATAGGGATTGTGTCGTTGACCAGCTGGTTGTTGTCCTCTTAAAAATAAAGGCTGACATCACCGCCACTTAAGAAGTGGGATGGACGGGACAAGGAGGAAAGCGAGTAGGTCCTTGTGACAGTTTTCGCCCCCGTCCCGACGAAAAGAAGGACGATTTGGTCAAGGATGCCCTTTATGGGCGCCTGGAGCGTACTTATGATTTTAATAGACGGAAGACATGTTTCCGGTGTTCTTGACGTAGCGAAGATACGCATCGGCCTCTGTGTATCAAAGAACGAAAAGATGAAATCACAATATACTGCCTAGCGTTATTCGCTATACGCCCCACAGTGGCATTTCAAGCTCCATAAGTACAGCTGCAAACGAAACTATTGGATTTCGGAAAGGTCTTAAAAATAGCTAGTGCGATTAGAACTGCCGTGTCGCAGTGGAGAAAAAGCAGACTGCCCACCTCGCAGTCTGCGATCGACCACTACACGTGCGGGATGGGACGGAATTTATACCAGAAATGAAGAAAGAAAGAGGTCCATATGCGAGAGTATGAAGAGCTTGAAAAGCTGGCCGACAAGGGTAATGTCCGAAAATTCTATGAAAAGATGCGAAGGCTTATAAAAGGTTTTTTGACCCAGAGGCCAGATAGATTATTTAATGACGGATGCCCAAAGTTTATTGCATTTATGGAGGGAACACTTCACGAGCATGCTAAATGGCAGTAAAATGGAATACCCGGAGATATTGACCATGCAATGTATAATGTAATGCTTTTCGTAATCGGGTTTAACTCATAGGTTTCAATGTTAGTAGAGATCTAATAACGACTTCTTTTTAAGATGCTGGAATGATATTGTTTGAGAAGTGAGTACAGGCGGGAGTTTTAAGATCGGTTGTCTTTGACCTAAAGTGTTTTGATTCGAGCCTTTAGAGAACTTCTGTACTGGAGGTTGCTATGGAGCACCATAGTTGTATTCTGTATGAGTCCGACTTGTAATTTTTTGTTCAGAAACCAGAGTAAATTTTTTTCCTTGCTTTGAGTGCATGAGTTTTCCATGTAACTTTGCTATAGAGCCGCAAGTCTAGGTGTTATTCTTGTTTCGGTAAAAGTAGCCACTTTATTGAGACCAACGATTTAGCGCAAACGTAACCTTACCAAATTTTGTCATTTTTTTTAATTAATTAGAAACTTTTTTGTATTTGGTTATGAAAGCATTTACTCTATTAAATATAAATAAGCTGCAATATTTTTAATGAAAGCTTTAACTCAGTAATCCAATAGAATAAACTAAGTATATATTATATAATACACCTTTTTTAATATCTATGATTGTATTCATTCACGGGGCACTAACTACACAAATATTTTATAGTGAATATTTGACATTTTTACTGTGTACATCATGCTTTCAATTACTATGTGTGGGTAGTAAGTGAATGGTCTTGACGTGCAAAGTGTTCCGAGTTCCGAGCAGTTCATTCATCGTCAGTTTTAAATATCTGATTCAGTTTGGAGCGCCCCTGTTGGATTAGTTCACAATATCGAACGCTTTTTGCCTTGAGTTTAATATCCAAAAAAATTAAATCCACAGAGTAATTTATCTGGGCGTCGTATGCGCAATATTCCATGCTGAAACACTGACGTATCGTCTGCTGAGTTCATATCCAGCGCCATTAATTTTTCAGCAGCCAATGGATGCCACGCACCGAAAGTACAAGCTGAATTCATCTTTATGGAATAAAATGAAATAAGATAATAGTAAAAAGATTCATCATATTTTATTTTATGTAATAAACAATTTTAGCTAGTATTTATACGAGAATTAAGGAAAATTGCTGATTTCGGTTACATCTTACAGAACCTTGGCAATACTGCCTCGTATTAAGGATCCCTCTTCGACTGTCCGTTCACCTCTTGACCTGCTTACACGGCAGTACCTTGGTGAAGGTACGTGTATGTTGAAAGAATTAAGTAAACACGTTTTCTGAATACAATCATGTTTTATAGGTAAGTATGGCAGGAACAGTCTCACAGACCAAATTTGATACATTCGAGTATATAACTAGAAGAGCTTTCAAGAGGAATATCTTATACATATTTCTTTGCTGTATTCAATACGTAAAGCAAAAAATGTAATTAATACAAAAAAAAAACAAAATAAAATAAAAACATTCATATTTACCTGCTTACAATATTAACGTAAACATGATATGACAAGCCAACTCGCAGTTGAAAAATACGATATAAAAAAATAGTTGATTGAACTAATAAAGGTTATTCTGAACAAATTTCAAAATTATTACTCATTATCTTTGGGTAAGATTTTGCCTATTGCTTCACAACACCATGGAGATATGGGGACTTAGCCAGAATTCCTTGCAATGTGTTACTTCGAAAGTTATTTTTCGATGAAATATTATCAAGACTCAAACAGCTTTGAGTGGTTTTCAAGTTCTGTGAACTAGTTAACTGCAATAAATCAAATAATGTATTTACCTCTTTGCTATAATAGTGGCATCTACCATTCAAACGGGTTGATGGTATATACTCGATGAAATCTATGAATGGACAATGAGGTAGTAACAAAGCCATACCTATATACAGGAATAAAACATTAAATTATTGTAACATACACGTACACATAAATATATTTTATTATATATTATATTACCAATGAAACCTGAACTTGGTGGATTTTTACGTATGGGACGTCTTCCGACGAAAGTTTGTAAACTTTGCCAAAGACGCCAGACCGAATGGGGATCGATGAGGAATGCTCGTGACTTTGGATAATTTCGTCGATATATCGCATAATTGCTAAATAAGTCGTAGTCCGCTGATGCCCTCCATTCGCGAAGTGACGTGTTATATTTCCCCGGATCCCAAGCAGCAATTGTTACATTTTGAAAGATTGGTGCATGAGTAAAATTGAAATGAGGTTTAGTAACCACCTAAACAAATATATATAATCAAATTAATATTTATATTCATTTTAATTATTTCGTTACCTGCGAGTTTAAAACACGAATTGTTGTTTTACTACCAACGTCGCCTTCATATCCATGGGTTGGCGCGTCATTGAATCGCATCACAACATCGTGCGTATCTTTAATACCATAGAAATTTGAATAAATGAATAATTAATATGAACAAAGTAAAAATATGCGAAATTTCTATAATTGTTACATTCCCACTTGCTCTAGCGATCCTATAATTTCTATTTCTCTCGAACCAAATTTGGGTCTAGATGCGGGATAATTATTATATAATCCGAAGCTTCTAGATTTTTGTTAAGTAAGGAATGAGCCTAACGTATTTATTTAAACTTTGACAATTTTATAGATTTTCGCTAGGTTTGGACCTTTGGCTCCTTCAAGAAGGGGTAAGTTCGGATGAAACCAAATACTGGCTGACAGGCTACCTAAGACTAATTGCGGATCCATGTAGACAGTTTTGCCTAAAGTAAACTTTTCACTTGAATGCGCTCGCTCGAAGGCTTATGTGGTAAATTATTACAAGTATGTATTGGACAAAAGCTCTGCAGGATCGCAAAAGCACATGGTAACATTTTCTTAGCTCCCCTAAATAACCAATAAAAAGGACAATAGATGTTTGATGCTTAAAATCATTTCATAAATTTCGGTCGAGCTCCTCTTCCAATTTGTGGTTTTGCGTCTTGATGTTATTCCAACAAATGGATTGGTTTATACTAAGCCACCTCTGAACGGCTGATGGTTTTAGCTTTATTTCACGTCCGAAATATACTCGGGGTGTGGACATTCCCTGCCGAGGGACGACGGTAAATAGAAAATTTAAATTAATTTTTATTTAAATTAGTTTTCCATAACTTTTGGATGTTGGTGGCATCGGGATATCAGCCCAAGCCCTCCGAATGTCAGTACGCTATGCTAACCACTCGGCTACCGCGGCCGCCGATTTGCATATACTAAACTTATATCGATTCGGAGCGTTGACGGTGACTAATCAAATTTCACTGAGTATTTAGCAATGACTTTTCCGGCGGTTAATATGGCAACCGATATAGGGGAGGATTAGCGGACATGGGTAGTTGAGCCAAGATTATCAAGTTTCATCAAAAGCTGTGATCTTAGATCCAGTATAAAGTAAATTATTTTTGCAACTAATGGGTTTAGTGAGGTGTAATAGTGATTGGGCTATGCTAGATGGCGTTAGAAAGATGATATTATGGACTAAAAAAGATATTGGGAGAAGAGTAGATCATTTAACTCACTAATGTTTGAGCGCATGTCTAAGATGGATACCAGCAAAAAGAATATCGCTATATTCAACAATTTTTTTTAATTAACTCAAAGACGCACATCAGACAGCTCGACGGTGCGGATGGCCAATTATCGAAAATGTCATTGAGTTTGGAACCACTTGAAGAAGGCTGGATACACAAAGAAGCTCCATGTAAGGATAAACGATCCATTTCCGTAGCGAAAGGTGACTGGTGACAGCAATGTCAAATAAACCGATCAGATCAGTGATTATCTTCTGTTCCTGTCTGCTAAAGAATTGACCTCAAGATAAGTCTAAAAATCGATTGCCTCAATTTGTTGCCAATAGGAGCAAAGATTTCTATGAGAGGGCCAAAATCAAAATGCCCATCGCCAAAGAGTTATTGCAAATTTGACATAAATCGGATAATTTTAACTATGATAAAAAAAGCACTAAATTTTAAGCGACGTCAAAATTATCATCAACAACTTCATGAAGATGAAGTAAGAATGTCTTCCCCTTGCGGTTTAGATTATTCAAAAAATACAAGCAGTAAACACGAACTTTTGATTTCCGTTATAATTTGGAATCAATCCAGTCAAGGTTTGCTTCTTTGCCTAGACTTCCAGATCAAAGACGGTCACGTTATGTTCGTCCTCCACAATACGATAACTTTGAAAGAGGGTAAGTATCGACGCCTCTGTTTGCCAGCATCTGTTTGCATACTTATTTATCGACTGTAAAAACTCGTTATTACAGAGCTGAGAACTTCCCGACATTTACTGGAATGTCTTTCATTACTTGCCGCTTTTTGTTTACTTGCGGTATTTGCTTTTAAATGGCATTATGAATTTTCCTTTCTGCCTTTTGATGTAAATTCAGCTATCTCAAATTGAGGTGAATGTAATTCAAGACTGTTGCTTACGCGAAGAGCGTAAATCTTGCATAACTTTAGGCGCCGTATAATTGCTTCCTGCCATTTGAGTTTTTTGTTCTTTGTTTACAGTGGAATTTTCCTAATTATGATTCACATTAGGTATCTGATTATCTGATCTGTTTGGCGTCTGCTCATTCCCACTCCCTTGCGATTGGCGTCTGTGCAATGTCAGATTGCAACGCGCCCAAGTAGGATGTTAAAAAATCAACTGAAAACCCATTTTACAAAATTTTTTCCAATGATTTGATAATATTTACCAATGAATCTTCCCAACTTGGAACCGGAAAGTGATCCGGCGCTTGATACAATGGCGCAGGTCTTGATGTCTTTTGTTTTTCGGAATAATTTTTGCTTTGGAAATAGTTTTCCAATTTCGATTTTGTCAAATGGAAGATCTTTACGTCGTAATACTCTCACTCCTGCATCCATAACTAAACAAGCCGACGGGTAATATTGCTCTTCGAAACTGTTTGCGAACAAAGGAGTGAAATCCACGTTATAAAAATTCGGTTCTTTTGGTAAATCAATCAGTGATTTTTCAAAAATATGAATTATTTGTTGACGAAAATTCGCAGTTTTGTTGTGGCAGTTTTCCAATAGCTTATCATGACAAACGAATAACTTTGGATTAAAAGTAAGCTTAGTATTTTTCGATAACTTAAGACGTGGATGTGGCGAGAGCTTTGAAGAATTAATTGCAGGTTTCTCACGACTTTCCACAATGTATTTTTCATTGGGATTCCAGCGAATGTGGAACACGCTACGCTGTTTGCGCTGGTGCCAATCAGACTGGTCTGAAATGTTAAAAACCCTTCATTAGCTTAAAAGTTTATTAATTTCAACGTGTTTTTTATTATGAAAAAATATATAAATTATTAATATTATTGTTTATTTAGGCTAAAAACCAAAGCACTAGTTTCTGTGGCTTTCATTCCCTAAATAGGCTAAATAGGAGCTTAAAGATTTCATATATTTATTGGCTAGATTGAAAGTTCATAAAATTTGTATATCCTATTCTTTATAGAACTTATAGCGATGTAATGATGACGATTGGCAGCCGCATTAGGCGAATACTGGCTTACGACTCTTTAACCTGCCTACACTCAGAGTGATGCTTGAAGTTTGATTTTTTAACTGAATGGGTAAGTTGACCATTGCTACTTAGAAAATTTAACTAAACCATTCTTTTAAGATCAGAAAAAAAATAATAATTAATAAAAATTCATAATTAAATGTTTTAAAATAAATAAAAAAATAAACTTCATTTAGTATATATGCAAACTTCAAGAATTCAAGACATAATGAATCTAACCCATTTTATAAAGAATCTATTTTTCTATATTTATTTAAATAAATTAAAAAAATTATAAAATGGTATAAGCACAATTTTTACTAGTCTATCCTTTGATCTTTCTTTAATCTTTTAGCTTTCGCAATGAAAAGCTTAAATAGTGTTTATACCTTGCTCAGACCAACGAGTTTTGTGAATTGTGTGGTTTACTCGTCGTTGACACATCTGACAGCTTTTGTTTACATTTATATAAGAAAGCATAGACGAAAAGGATAATTTATTACCAATAGTATCTGTAATTTTGGTATTGAAAAAAATTAAAATAATTAAACCCGCGATGTCCGAGTGGTTAGCATTGCTTATTGCCATTCGGAAAGCCAGGGTTCGAATCCTGGTCTGACAACCTGCAAAAAATACGCACTTACTTCTTGGCTACCACGTGACTGCTGACAGTCATAACAAAAGGTGCTACTTAGCACGTAATTGAAACGTAAAATCCTCTCTCGACAAACGAAAACCATACTTGGTAAGTCCCTTATCATTCCCGTCCTGCTATACTGTGAGGAAGCATGCACGTTTTCAACATCCGATGACTTGGTTTTGAGAGTCTTCGAGAGAAGAGTGTTTTGGCTATAAACGTGTAAGCGGTGACTAAGGCAATTGCTATTCATATTCGGGTTCTGGAACAACGCTTCCATCGTCATCAATTGGAGTTTCGGGTTCACCTTCTCCGGGTGTTCCATTTTCATTGCCATTCAGCAGGCTGGAAAAGTTTTTCCTTTTTATATTCAGTCATCGGTCACTAGCTCACCCTCCAGAGTCCTACCTGAGCCGTCGCCGAAAGCCAATTAGTGAAATATTTTTGTGGCTACAACAACAACAACATGCAGTTTTCCATTTTTTATTTACTAGCTCTTCAAATATTCACTGTATATAATTTTCTGAAGTTCTATAACTTGACAATTATTGCAATTTTCTTCTCTTTAACTTGAACTTGGATTAAACTTGGGTCAAATCCCTTAAATCGTAAAATGCTGCATTTAGTATTTATTAATTAATAATTTTCATTAATACAAATTATATTTGTTCTAAGGTGGTTTACCAGTCAGAATATTTGCTAGCTACTCACTCAATAAACATTGTTTGGAATAAAAAATTAAATTGTTTATGTGATTTTCTTTCAATTTCAGATTTGCAAGTATCTACGTGTAAGAGCACACCTTTCCTTCTTCCGATTGACACCAAATTCCATAGATTGGAACCAAACTACAGTACGGGTAGCCCACGAATAAGTCTTATACTTTTTAAAAAGTTCTATATGAAAGTACCTCTGTACATTGTACATACATAAGTGCACTTGAATAACTTCAGAAATGTGCAAAGACAACATGAAGGACTCAATGTTAAGGTTTAGAGCTTGTGGTTTAATGGAGGAATTTTAATTGATATCGAACAATATTCTCTAGGGTGTATGCGAAGCTTGTTAATGCATATATGTACACATAGTCATGTAATGTGCTCCCAGATCTGGGATTTTACGACATTTCGGAAATAGTAAAAGAAATATGCATGTATGTACATACATACGAGTATATGAAAATCCTAATATTGTAAAAAATTACAGCAGTCATAAATTTGAACGTATGAATTTTTGGACATATGTATGTAAGTACTCGTATGAGATGTGTCTAATTAACATATTTGTCTGTATGCAATTGTTTTACGAAATAATTTATTCACAAGTACAGTACGAATTACTAACCTTTGTTCGCTAATCGAAGTTTCGATTGCGGCTCAAAGCTTTTCCATGATAATTTCAACTTTTTTTCATGCTGCTTACTGGTACAATTCGTAAAGTTATTCTGAGCTTTATAGTTGATGCTTAGCTTTTGATTTCCAGATTTTTGATAAACTTGCCCTCTGCCTGGTTGTGAGCTTGAGAACGGAGCGGCGAACGGCAATATTGGCATCCGTTTAAATCGGTTAGGTTCGGCGCCAATGAGTTGTATTTGAATTAACGTAAATGACGTTATGAACGTGATTGTTATGCCAATAAATGCTTGTGTTATGTTCATGACGAATTATGCTTTATCCAATGCTTTTTAATGAGTGCTTCTGGGTTTTTATTCTGCAAAATAGTTAAAAATAATATAAATCTTTTGAATAGTCCAAGGTCGGGAGAGTCCAACTACGAGTATATAATGGTAATATTTCCTATAACTATTGCCACTTTAATTATATTAACGTTCAATAGTATCTAAAACAAGTAGCATGAAATCGTTTATTATTATTGTCAAATATTTCTAAACTATAAAATAAACAATCTTCTTCATTCTGGCTTATTATTCTGTAAGATTAGCCAATTTTCATAACATTTCCGAATCGTTTTCCTTTCAGTCATCACTGAAAAATTTAAAAAATTACTAAAAAATCACTGTATACTTCTGCTTATATGACATATGTAATATGAATAGGTATGCATATTAATAGGTATATTGTATATATATATTGTACAATATATAAAATATATTTAATTGTAATTTTCAACTACACAATAATATAAATATATAGATACATATATGTACATATATATTTAAGTTAATTATTATTTTCAACCGTATTTTTAATATTTTGTTTTAAATTCTATTATCCTTACTAACAAAATATTCTACAAAACATACAAAACTGTTTAGTGACGAACACTTTAACTTTTTCTCTGAAGCGACTTTTATCCAAAATATGTAATTATTTTTGCTTGATGAAATTCTGAAACCCTATTTGTTTTTAATTAAGAAACCCGGAATTGATTTTGAAATGTTGAAGTATTTACAAAATTTTAATTTATTTAAAGATCACAGAATTTTAGACTGTATTTATATTGAGATGCCTTCTTTTTATATTGTTTCAGCGAGCAACTTTCTTTTTTTCTTTTCTTTTGCTGTTCTATTTCCATCCGGGCGATTTGACTTGATTTCATTTTGCCCCATGGCAGAGTTTCGAAATTTGTTGTGTGCGAGTGACCTGGAGGATCTTTTTAATTCCTTAATTATTGGGCCGCTTTACGTCCATCCAATTCTTTCAGATGGTAAATAATGCGTTATTCGTGTGAGTATTATGATACGAGTTGAGCTTTTTCTTTGGTGATTCCAGGAGAACATTGTGAGTGTGCCCATTTCATTAGAGCACTGTACTGGTTGTCAAGCCAATTCAAATATTTCGTATGTAGCCGATCAAGAAACTTTTGCATTCCAGAGAATACAAAAGCTTTTTGGTAATTTTGATTTACGAGGATTCGTATTTTTATAGTTTTTCTTTTATGGGGGATCAGAACTTAAGCTTTCCCTGCTGCTTTTAGTGCAGGAATGGATTGAGAATTTTAAGTTGAGTTTTGTGCTATTCGTGCCTGTCAAGGGGTACTATCTTTTATTTGGGGTGTGACAGTATTATTTGAGTGGGCGCGGTTGCTAGGTGTTTGTTGTTTTTTCGACTTGTGTTGTTGGTGTGGCTCTGTATTTGGTTGTGTCTCTTTCTGTGACGCGCTCTTGTAGTGATTTTGTTGTTTCTGCTATTTATGGTATGAAGTGAGTGCATGCGTTGGGTTGACTCCTTTTGGAGATTTCTTTTTAATTTATTTTTTCTTCAATTTTTAATTTTGTTTGTATATTTATATTTGGGCATACTATACTTGTACATTTGCGTTAGTATTACGTTTTGTAAATACAAATATACCCAGTAGCAAATTGTTTAAACGACGAATTTAGTAATATGTAATAGTAATACATAAAGTGTAGAGGCTGCGGCCGCGGACATCGTGGATAGCATAGCTTTCGTTATTGACGATTTTTTTCCAGAATGACAATTCGTCGAAACCAAACCAATTTACGCATTATTCCAATAGAAATTATGGACTTTGGTTCTACTCTGGAAAGTGATGCGTTCTAGTATTCTTTTGATAGGTTGCGGCGCAACATCGAAACTTGGTAAAAAAGTGACTCGAAATGATACAAAAACCAGCTTTTTCATGCAGAGATAGAAACAATCAATAGCCGATTGTTAGGAACGAAGCTTTTAGCGAAATATTGAATAAAAATATGAAAAATGTGCAAGTTGGTGGAGATTGGCATAGTTTTATGGAAAGTTCGAGCAATATTAGTGAAAGTTTATTTGAAAATTTATCATGATGGGGAATTCAGAGCAATATATCAATAAGTTGCTGCAGGTTTTGTGAAAATACGAAATCGCGTGCCATTATGTTTAGAGTACTTTGTTAACAGAAATCCATACATACATATATATATATATATATATATATATATTAATTTTATATTTATATTTATACGCATATTAGTTTTTAATGAATAAATAAAATAAGTTCGGATTTTTAATTTCAATGTTTTATTTTGATTAGATTGCTTTAGTGGAAAAAATGAAAATAAATTGCACCGTTTACCACTTTCATGGCAATGTTCAATAAAGCGTCAAGCTGTATACATCACTTCTTCGCTGATAGTGTATAACGAAGTAGTAATCACATACACAGTCGCTTGCAATTTACAATGGAGTGGTAAGTTGCGCATATGAGCACTTGGCTTGCAAAAGCTAATGAAGTGGTAAATTTCCTTGGCGAACTCTTCGTTAGAAAATGGCTGTGAAGTGGTAATGAATGAATTTTCAAACACGAGCCCTGTACAAAATCTTTATGTGTATGTGTGTTTTTTGTAGGTTTCCCAGTAGCGAATGCTAACATAAGGCGAAGGCTTTACATAATGCATAAATTCTTTCGTTTCAACATGTTGTCATTATGGGAAAAAATCGTCGAAAAGGAACGCGACCGTAGCGACAGAAGCGACCAAGCTTTATGGATTACTACTTCATATTACTAAATTCATCGGTGACGAAATTTGCTACTGGGTTGTAAGTATATGCATTTCCGTAGCGTTTCTTTATGTATAGTAATGTACTGTTTCTAATTTTATTTCAGCATCATTTTTGCATAACGGGATCATTTATTTACATACTAGTATTTAATTGTATATTTCCACTTAGGCAGATTTTTTATTTTTGTAAGGTAAGGGTAAGGTAACACTTAAACCATTTTAACATTTCATTAAAATTTAATTTACAGAGATGTGATCAGTCTCGACCTATGACTTCAAAAAGAGTTTTATTTTTTCCATTGCCTTGCTGTTGATACCATCGGTAGAAGTTTGTAAAAGTTCTGAAGAAGGATTATTGTTAAACGTCACCTATTGGCATAAATTTATCAAAAAGAGAAGGGAGTGCATATATTTTTAATGCCAGTGAGGGACCATGAGATTCTTTAATATAGTCAAGAAACCGCTTCATCTCCATTTTGAAATAAAATTTTATTTAGCTATCATGAATATGAGTAATTATTATCACAATATTACTTTTGGTCCGGATCTGCCTGATTGAAGGGTAAGCGATATAAGTTATCGCTTCTTTATGCCGCAAGTGGGCTTGTTTGACACATATCATTGTGCTTTTTACATTTCTTCTCAAAGAAATAATAAATGAAAGAAAATTAAATAAAATTCATGAAATAGTCATTTTTAAAATTCGATTGTATATTATTATATATTACTTATACATTATCATCTACCTAGTGGTTGCGTTGTAGATATTAGAAGTTCTTCTGGTTCATTTTTGAGTTAAACTCCGTATGGATTTCCTTTAAATAAGGGTGAAAGATATTTGACCCTTTAATTTATATCTTAGTAGTGCCAAGTCAATCGGAAACCTCAAAACCTCATTTAATATTTCTTAGCTGAATATTCAGATAACCCGCCTAATTTTTTATTTAAAATAATTTTTCATAATTTTTGAGAGTTGGTGGGACCAGGACTCGAACACTGGTTTTCCGAATGGCAGTAAACAAACCTAAACACTTGGTAATCGGGGCTGCCAAAATTAATTATTAAACAAAAATGTTAATTATGTTAAGTCTATGACACCCTAATATTTTTCCTAAAACCATACATACCGGTTGGAGTCGCACCGCTTTCGTTTGACTACCTTTGCGGGTATCACCTGCCGCGTAGCGTTCGGGATTTAAAAAAAAGAATCACAATTACATGCAATCATATTATGTACATTATTAAAGTAACTCATACTATAAATGGGCTTCTGTACATACATAAATATATATTGATTTTTACCGCGATTTTTGGTAAACTCCACTAAAGACTTCGTCAATAATTTTTTCACTTTGCAATAAATTGTCGTTACAGCGGGTCCCATATTACTTTTTGGCGCAATTAAATATGTATGTTTGTATGTCTGCCACTAGAGGATTTCCAATCGGGTGTAAACATTTCGCTTTCCGCGTTCATATTAACTTATTCTCTCAACTACCGCTATTCTGCCTTTGTGCCGCACAACGCGCACAACTACCGAAAATAAAACTACTTAAACAGCACTTTTCATATAAATATATGCCCCTACATACTTGTAACCTAAGCATAAGTATGTGTATGTGTAGTATGTATTTTGGGCAATAAACTTTTATTGTATACACACATGCGCGAGTGTATATTCATACCCTGGCTAAGGCTAGTCTTAGCCGCCGCATAATTGCAACGCACAGTCCATTACCGAATACGAATAATACGCGTATACGCACCACACAACGGAACGGTTAACTTTAAAAACACACTCTCGTCGGCCTGCTTCGTAACACCACGTGCTAGTTTATACCGCACTAATACTGCCCATCGAAAGCGAGCAAACACCTGTCCTGCACGGCAGTCGGCTTGTTTCTGAGCCGTTGTTTGCTGTGAAACTTTTGCTTTGCGTGTCGGAATATTTAATTTGCGACAAAAGCGCTCTGATCGGAGGCGTTGGGTGGCTGTGGGAAGGATATTGTTCGTGTCTGGCATGTTGAGGCAGGCGAACTGCCTCTGTTGTCCCTTAACGTAATTTTAAAGCAAAAAGCTCTTCCTCAACTTTCCTCTCGTTCGCATTATGGTGACTTCCCATTGCCCCACTTCTGCGATTTCTCAGCTTCAATGTTAATAACATCTCACAGTGTCACTGCAAATTATTTGATGTACGCGCAGCTACTCAGTGCACCACTTAGCAGTGATAGTTAAGCTTTAGAGCGTTGCAGGAGACTGGGCTGTAGAGAGGGTGGAGTACTGTCATATACTCGTACCCTCCATAAATTGTATACTGTTGGAGGCATTCAGTTGTGAAAAGTGAAAGTGAAAGTTTGCATTTGTATGGCACTTTGTTTTTAAGCCTTAAGTAAGAAGCTTTGCACATATGTAGGCACATATACATACATATGTACATAGGTACGGAGATGAACTCAAAAATATTTGTACATATTTATGCATACACACTTACACACAAATGTAAACCAAAGAAATATACGATTTTATACACAATGCTTGTTTAATAAATATTAACAGTTTCTTTGCGTAAGACCAGGAACTAAATGAGGGACCTTGAAACTAATCGGGTTTTAAAGTAAGTAAAGCGGGTTTAGCGAAGAAATAGCAATAACAAGATCGCACAACGAAGTTGAAGTCATAAAATCACTTTCCATTCTGCGGTTGGGCCAGCCAGATATTCCGGATGCGGTACATTTGTCCGTTGGCTTGAGGAATTGTACAGTTTATTCCTTTACTTGTCTACTATTTTCAATTTTTTGAATATGTCTGTTATTAAAACGATGTATGGCGACTTTCTTTTACATATTGTGGCATACTTTGAATTTTTTTTTCAAAACCAAAAAGCATCCTTGGCTAATTATAATTAAAAAACAAAAGAAAAAAAACATCTGGGATAGGTTTGACCGGGGAATGCTGCATTACCACTTCTTAGCGATTTGTATAACGGTTGGTAAGGCACACAATCATTAGTTTGCGGAGGTTGCTTGACATCATTTTCTTTTGTTTATATTGAAATGTTTTGCATCTTTTTTTAACAAAAGCTTTAAATTGTAAAAAGTATAATTTTTTTTAATATATGAGATTGACAGCAAAGATAAAGCAAAAGTCAAAAAATTGTCTTATGTTAGACATGTTATATCTTGAAAGAAAAATAAAAGAATCGGGTGAAATTACCTTTTTTGTTGTTGTTTTTATCTTGATGCTAAAAAAAACTAAATGCAATAAAAAACACTTATGTTACATAAAACCGCCGTTATTCCGTATTTTGAAACATGAATCAATCATTTTGAAGTTGAAAGTTGAAAAATTCCACGTTGAAAGTAACCATGGTTTATATTGTATTTTAATTTATTTTAAGGTGCCTCCGAACGGTCGATGGATTTTTATAAAAATCCTGATGCTGGAACGGTATTAATTTATTGAAACGTCTTCCAAAATACTCCTAATATCAATGTTTGTTAACTCTTCCAAGTTAGTAAAGTATGGGATTCGAGAATTTTCAGTGCCTGCTGGTTCAAGGCTAATCTGTGCAGTAGCAGATCGCAAGTTGAATGCGGAATCCAAAACCTTAAAAGCAGTTTGGTTAGATGCGTAAGTCATGGCCTGTCTCAGAGAGAGCTGTCGCGTGAAATGATCTGAAAGCTGGAAGCCTTCGCCGATGGGTAATTCTTACCTCCTACGACGACCCCTCCGTAAAAAAATGAAGTGACCCTTACCTTTACCCTTTAGCCTTCCTGAACGGCTCTAGGGTTAGATACTGTGCTTTTAGATTTCACCTTCGGAGTTGCCACCATACAGCTCCTTCTGCATCACAATCATTTCACCAATAATAAACTCATATCGGAAATTTAGCCCGCTAGTACCCATTAAAATTTAGTTACAGAAGTTCAACCCCACAACGACACAATCGGATATTTGATTTTCGTCTCAACAGAATATAGGCTTTCCTTAGTTGTTTTGCACTATAATAATGATTGACGGGCGTCTTCTTATATACGAGTTTATTACAATAAGCCTTAATAATAATATTAAAACCTTAAATTTTTATTTGGATATCTACTGTTAAATCAACCAAAAACTGGGTTTTTTTAGGAGAAATGATTCTAATTGTTGACAAGAAAACTTCTCCTTCCCTTATGTCTTATGAGTGTTTTACAATCAAATATTTACATATAAGGTTATTACTTTATCTCTACCATGTAAGTACCGAATACTTAATAGGCCTTCAATTCGATTTTATTTTTATTTCGCTGCCTCTGCAGTTCTACTATGCAAAGGGTCATGGCTTTGAGAACTGGCCAGATCAACATTCCAAACGCACAATCCGCTACCGAACGGTTGATGGATTTAACAATGAGCTTATATTTTCCATACTCAGTTGTTTTTAAAATAATGGCAATAATGGGACTTAAATTCATTAATCAATTCTGTGGTAATGCTACATTTTTCTCCATTACTTACTACAAGTACATTTTTTCGTCGAAATAACGGTTGCTAATTTTAAAGCACGTGAAAAACATAAATCCATTCATTGGAAGTTGTTAAATAGCACCACCGAATAGCACAAAAAATATATGTTAAAATGAAGGCCACAAAGTTGACATATATTTCTCTTAAGCAATTTAAAACGGTAATTAGCTATTAGCATATTTATTATTTACAAAATTTTTTTCGCAATGGGTCTTGCTTCAATTTAAAGCCGAAATACGTGGTTGGAAAACAGTAAGAGCACCAGCAAGGGTCAGTCTCATAGTACGGGAAATAAAAAAAGCTCCGTTCATGTCAGCTGCAGAAGTGAATGCATGAGACTTAGAGAATATAATCTAAAAGCCCATAGTCCGCGAAATGTCCCTAACGGTTGCAGTTGGCCAAAAACCACCTATTGCAAAGTGGCGTGGGTTGATGTTAAGAAAAATGAATCCGACTAACAAAAGTGATTTTTAGGGCAGATTGCAACAAACCTGGCACTCCATTTTACAGAAGTGTCAGAACTTGGTCAATTCTATGGAAAGACGCTGCAAAACAGTTATTTGAAATTGTTCGGAAAAAGGATTATGCAATAAAATATTAAAACCAATTCATGTTGGTAGCTTTTCATATTAAAACCGCAGTAAACGGTGTTCATACAATCTAAATATTTTTGTTTTTGGGTCAAGATGACCCAAATTATTTCTTCAGATTTTTGAACAAAATTGAATTTTTTGCTACTAATTTTAAATTGTATAGAATTCGTCATATTTTTATCATTAGGAATATGTACATATTTTTGTACATTTTGAATAAAATTACTAAGCCTTTTTTGGACAAGTAAGATTTTGTTACTTCCTTAACCCTCAAGTGGGCGCGCTGCGTCGATGTTCATATTTATTTTATTGCGTTATGTTTTTTTATTTTATAAATGCTTTTTTTCTGAATTAGTTACTTGTTTTTGACTATTCGAGTCTAAACACTATGATAATGTAGATAAATATCTAACAAGTCTCTATGAAGTTTAAAAACGTATACTAGTGATGCTATTATTTTGACAGCAGGTGTATATGTATGTATAGCAGAAAACACACGATGGGCGTTCGTAATTAGAAAAACTTATTTTTACGTTAAGTTTCTATAATTTTGAATGAGGCCATAATAGGCGGCGGCCGCGGCAGCCGGGTAGTTAGCTTAACGTGCTGCCGTTCGGAAGGCGAGGGTTCAAATGCGGCAGGGAATTTCAATCCCTGCGAGTGTATTTCTGACATGAAATAAAGGGCCTTCATAAAAAACGGCTTAGTATAGTCTGTAAGCTCATCCATTTGATGGAAAAACATCAAGACGCAAAACCACAAAATGGAGGAGGAGCTTGGCCGAAAATCGCTTCAGTAGTTACAAAGCGCCAATTATATATAATAGTTTCTTAAAACAAGATTTAAATGCAATGAACCGTCTCATCAGTGGCGCTGTTTTCATAATACCTGCGAATTTTCCGCACACTGCGCTTGCCTATGAAATTACAGTATTATTTTCAGAACCTCTGAAAAACTTGGAACACCTGAGAACGTCACCGTGGTACTATACAACCGAGAAGTTGGATTTAATTCTTTAATTTTATTCAGAGCTCGTCTATTTTTCGGCACGGGACGAAAAAACAATTTTAAAAGCACTCATAGCTCTTCCCCACCGAAAGGACTGTATTTCAATTGTATGAAAGTTAAATAGCATGAATTACAAACCAAAAAAAATGTTTGTCTATTCGACTCGTGACATATTTATTACAAAAAATATATTGGATAAACAAATAAGGTTAAAGGTGGACTGGCATTCACCTCGGTAGATGAACGTCTCGTCGTAATTCACATATGTAGGAAGTTATCCAACCTTTTCTGCTTTGCAACTACGCTTCGAAGAGAAGGAAGGTGTGATTAAATAAAGCGCCTAAAACGTACGCACGAGCGCTGCTTCTCGTCAAAATCGCGGATTATGATTTTAATGCCGAGGTAGGCAAAAAAGACATCCTCCAACAACAGTCGGAAAACTCAGTTGCTATGGCAAAATGTAAATTTACTTTATCTGCCCCGCTCCTAGTTCTGGATTGACTAGATTGGATAAAGAAGCGAAGCGACGTTGTTAATAGTTATAACATAGATGTCGTCTATCAAGAATCTTCAACAACTTCTGCCAAGTGATTCTACTTTGCGCTGCGCAAGCAATAGAAAAAGACCACACCTGGAAGTCACGGAAGATTTATTGTGCTGTAGGAGATACACTTCGTCGGAAGAATTAGATGGAGAGTGGAGTTTCCAATTGATCTAAAAATAATGAACGTCTAGCGGGCTTTTACTAATTCCACTATAATT